CTTCATCTTCTAAACCACGTTTCCTTCTACTACTAGTAGTAGGTACATGAGACAGACGCTGACTCACAACATGGATCTAGTATTTTACAAAGCAAATTAGGGACTCCAACCTACTGGTTCCCAGGTATGCTGAACTACAGCTGTCAATATTTCTAATATGTCCATTGACACTTGTCCTTGTTCCCTGTTCTTGATGTGTGCACAATCTTACTTTAAGATTCAGTTCTAGAGTTGGTGTCTCTGTATGTGTTTACATTTTGAAAGGTGTGTCTCTGGACGTGGTAAAGTTCCAAGCTCTAGGAAATATATGTTGGCAAGTACAGATGTTGCCATCACCCTTCTGTTTTTGGTTGTGCCAATATGCAGGAGGAGATCAACAATACTAGTCATGCTATCCGTGCAGTTGGTTTTGTGGTTGCTCTTTGCAAGATAGCAATGCCAGAGGAATTTGTTCTTGATTTAACTTTCCAGTAATATATTGTGACCTAATCCACCATTATTTGAGTAATGTGCAGACTGGAACACGTCCATTGGATTTCACACTTCTCTGGGTCCCACTTCTAACTCTGGGTATTAACTTCCAAAACATGAATCTTCCTTCCCACACACCTATGAGGAGAGTACCTCTGAAATATATATATTTTAAAGCCCTTTCACAGCTAGATAGCAAGCTAAGCAGATACCCTAAGGGACATAATGAAAGTTTCCGCCATTATCCAAGACACATTTCCCTCGCTCTGCAGTTTTGGCTTGGGCTATTTTCTTCCCTAGCTTGACCACTTATTACAGGAACTGTCATGAGGTTCTTCTGTACTATTTTTGCCCAGACAGCAATGTGTCAATGGCCGGAAAATGGACGCTGCTCACAAAGCCGTAACTGAGTGTTATAAGCAGCCAGGAAAAGCACATTTCTTCCTTGCACCTGTGACCTGCCAACCACCATTCCATTGTTTACGGTAGTCACAGTGGATCTTCTTTTTCGAGGGTGAATTGTTCTAGCAGCCAGCTGTTCCATGTTCTGTGCTTGCTGTTCCTCACATAGTCCCAGGTGTTCACACTTGAAAAAACAATTAGGGAAGAAAAAATAATTTAAGTTTCCCTGAACCTGCTCTCTGCTCCGTAAGAAGATGGTTTCAAGTATTGTGAGTTTATTCTTCCTATGATAGTATTTAAAAGTGAGAGCTCATTTCTTCCTATGTAGGTTGCATTTTGGAGTTCTGACATTACAGAGCCTTTATCCATTTCCTCCATATTTTCCTACATTAAACTTAGAGTATATTTACATATATGTGTTTGTCACAGAGCAGCTTGAAGATGCTGAAATCAAAGCCTAGCTGAAATCCGAGCCTGGGAGAGTGGTTATTTTGGACCACAACTCCCAGAATCCTAAAATCAGTAGAACCACTGACCATGCTTTCTGGAAGATTTTGGATGTTGTAGTCCAAGAGAAGACTATAGAGAAGGTTATACCCCTAATGTGAGCATCCCCAGCTTTTCACTGGTTGGAGTGGTGCCAGCTGAACTGCTGATCTGAATGTCGGCGATTCGAATCCAAGAGATGGGATGAACTCCCATCTATCAGTTCCAGCTTCCCATGCAGGGACATGAGAGAAGCCTCCCTCAGGATGTTAACACATCTGAGTGTCCCTCAGGCATCCTCTCTGCAGACAGCCAATTCTTTCACACCAGAAGCGACCTGCATTTTCTCAAATCGCTTCTGACACTATAAAAAAAAACTCGGTTGAGTAGCTGAAGGTCCATTCTGGCTTTAATATATAGTAGTGTTTAATATGTTTTAACTGATCTGAGTTAATGGTTTTAAGTAGATTCTTTTTAAACTTTTTATCATTATTTTTGTATAGAAATTGTTTCAGATACTTTGTTTTAACATATAGTATAAGTCACTATAAGTCCCATATGGAAAAAAGCGGGATATAACTATATATCGTGGGCTCTTGCTATCTGATGAGATTTGGCTATATATGGATACCAGGATTTGTGGATGTACAGTGGCATAAAGAAATGGCATTCCTTATATAAAATAGCAAAATCAAAGTTTGCTTTTTTTGGGAATTATTTTCAAGCTGTGGGTGGTTTGAATTTATGGATATGGTGGGCCAACTGTACTTTGCATCTCTTTGGCATGAAACTGGTTTTCAAAAGAACTTAGTTAAGATTCCATATCAGCCATAAACCTGGTGGACAAGTAATTGGCTCCTAGACTCAATAGAACAACTGACCAAACGTGTTGAGTTGAAAATATTTGCCAAATAAAAATAATTCCCCAAAAAAGCAAAAAAAAAAAAAAAAACCTCATCTTGCATTAACTTCATGTGGAACCCCTGGTGACACAATGGGTTAAACCCTTGTGCTGGCAGAACTGCTGACCAACAGGTAGCAGTTTGAATCTGGGGAGAGTGGATTGAGCTCCCTCTATCAGCTCCAGCTTCCCATATGGGGACATGAGAAAAGCCTCCCACAAGGATGGTAAAACATCAAACATCCGGGCATCCCCTGGGCAACATCCTTGCAAACGGCCAATTCTCTTACACCAGAAGCAACTTGCAGTTTCTCAAGTCACTCCTGTCACAGAAAAAAAAATAACTTCATAGATTTTGAATAAATGAGTTTTGAAAGAGATGTCTTCTTTTCTTGGATTATTGAATTGATCTACTTTAGAGTTGACAAAATGGTTCTTCCTATACATTACTCACAAACTCCTTTGCCTTTTCTTTCAGTGATGGGCCCAGGTCACGGGAACTTCAAGAGGTACCCAGGTAAATGAAGTCAACACAATATGTTCAGTGTAGAAGACCTCCTGATTTCTCATGGATACAAATTGTCTAAAAATTCAACCAACTTGTATGAGAACAGAAGTGATAGATTCCATCATGAAGTTGCAGATAGACGGGTTAGTCAAGGACCACTGAATGGGTTCCCAACCAGCTCTGCAGCATTTGCAAACAGCAAGAAGAAGACCAGAACCAAAAGTGCCCTGAATGACAATGAAAGCAGCAGCCATGTCTTCAGAGGGAGGCAACCAGCCTCCGTCTACCATCAGGATGTCCCAGCTTCAACCAACATTTATATTCCCGAGACAAGGTGAGTATTTTCCCGCTCCCATGTATGTATGTATGTAGGAGCAAAGAAGGCATGGGAACCCTGCTTGCTGTTACTGTTAACTGTTGTCAGGTCAATTTCAACATGGTGTCCCCATGAATGAGAGACGGCCAGGTCCTTCTCTTTAGACGTTTCCAAGGATTTCCAGCATGTAACCCTATGGTATTCTTGTTCTAGAAGACTGTCATTTCAGTAGAGGTCTCTATTATCCATAGTTTTGCATATCTATGAGAAGTTCAGAAATGTATCCTCCACAGATTTGTGGATCGTACTGTATCTTCTAGTTAAATCTTATTGAACTAATTATGGGATATATAAGAAAACTATACAACTGATTCAATCCATATTTTAAATTGATGGACTGTACATGTAGATGTGATGGAGAGTTAATCCTACAGCATTCAACATAACACTAAGCATTGAAAAACCCATACTTTTTGAAATGAAACAGGCAAACAAGACCTCATGGGAAGATTTTAAAAATGCTCAGATTACACACTGAAAAAGAAATGTGCAGTATTTTTCTGAGAGCATATCATTGCAATTTCAACTCATTATCAGTGCATGCGGTAAGACTTCGTGAATCAGTGGTGGTCATTCCTATATGAAGAGAGGCATTGTTTTCCCCTTGGGTGCTTTCACTTGAAGCAAACATCAGAGTTTCCTTGGAAGGTCTCATTGCTCCAGCTGCAGTCCAGCACAAGGCCTTGTCATCAGTTCATAAAATGTATTGATGCATTCCTCTTGCTTGCAGCCAGTCCTTCATGGACAAATTAAATAGAAAAAATTGTGTGTTGGGTAGGGAGACAAAGTCTTTTGTAGCCAGGCTTTTGCATCTGTCTATCACAGTGGTTCCCAACCTTTTTTTGACCAGGGACCACTTTGACCAGAGACCACTTGAACAGGAACCTCTTTGATGAGGGACCACTCTCAAGCATTACTACCAAAAGGGTTGCGAATCAGTTTTTGGTAAATTTTAGATTCGGTTTGGTTATTTCGGGTGCTGATTCAGAAAATTGCATTGGATAGACCACATCAGCTCTAATAGGAGCCCCCCGTGGCACAGTGGATTAAACCCTTGTGCTGACAGGACTGAAGACTGACAGATTGGAGGTTCAAATCCGGGGACAGCCTAGATGAGCTCCCTCTGTCAGATTCAGCTCCCCATGTGGGGATATGAGAGAAGCCTCCCACAAGGATGGTAAAACTTCAAAACATCTGAGTGTCCCCTGGACAACGTTCTTGCAGACAGCCAATCTTCTCACACCAGAACGACTTGCAGTTTCTCAAGTCGCTCCTGACATGAAAACAATCCACTCTAATTTCTGATACAGAACATATCTCATCCAGTAGTTGTCATCTACTCGTCCATAGAAAATCATATTTAATAATCTAGAGCTGATGTGGTAGTAGTAATATTTTGTGTGTAGTCAGCCTCTCCCTTCCCAACATCCCTGTTGCCTCAGCACTATAAGAGGTTTTTGTGGGACCAGTTGCTCTTGTTGCAGCATGGTTTTGAGGCAACAGTTTTTTTTGTTCTTGCAGACCACTGGTGGCCCATTGACCACAGGTTGGAAACCACTGGTCTATCAGCTAAAACATGAACTAAAAGAACAACCTTAGCTTATTTCAAAAGATCAGTGTTGAAAATACAAGTTATTTTCAGTCAAGACCAGAACCGTAAACGTTGCTCCATTTCTGGCAGCCCTGCTTCCATGGATCAGTGGTTCACAACCTGCATCCCTCCGAGTATTGGGACTCCAACTCCATCTTATCCAAAGCATTTGGTGAGCCATAGGTTATGCACCACTGAAAATAACATTTCAAATGTATCAGTTTTAGGTGTGTGGATGAACCTACCTACTGATTCCTGCTTAGCTTATGTTAATTCATTTTTTTTAAATGTGGAGAACAATCCATGGAAAATGGATCAACCAGGGTATGGGGAAAACAGAAGCTCTTGTTACTGGACAAAACACCAACTTAGAATTCTTCTGCCACATGTTTCTTCAGATGAAGGCTTAAGAAGCATCTTAGGAGAAAGCATTCTAGATAGAAGAAACCAAAGTAAGGTTAGAGTTCAGATAGGAGACCACTTCAAAACCCCATGGATGCCAATTTGACTTCTGTTGAGGAAAGGCAGGGTTTGTGTCTTTGAGTACATAGAAACTTCTGAAATCATTTAGGGCCATCTTTATGCTGTGTAGCCTGTAGCTTTACTAAAAAATTTCTTTGTTGCCTTCTTGCCATCAGTCAGAGCAAGAGGTGTATATCAATCTCATCCTGCTGACGGAAGTCTACTTTATGTATGGGAGGAAAGTTGGTGCTCATTCTAGCCGTATTAAACTTTCCTGCCTACAATGTATTTTCATCTGTGTTAATCTTGTATGGTATTGACTGGAGTGATTTGCCATTTCTGGCCCAGAAAGGAAGCAATTTTCCACCCTGGACATTTTGCCAGATGATTTGTTTTAATCTTTCTGATGAAAACAAAATATATTACCTCAGTTTTTGCAGTGAACTGATGAGATGAATCTATGTACGTAAATGGAAGCAATTTGAACAGAGCTCAGAACATGGATTACCAGTGATCATGTGAGCATCTTTCATTTTTGAATCTTTTTTAAGATGAAAGGAATTTTTGCCCCCCCCCCCCCCACCCAAATCTCTCAAACAGGTACAAAGTATTCTGTGTTATGATTGATGGAGAAGGACAGTAAATGCTACATTGTTGTGCTCCTTTTTTCATTTTGGCTTGGTAGGTATACATTTGAACCTCTTTAGATTGGTCCATTCCAATAATTTGTGCACATTTCTCACAAAGAGCTTCTCCACCAATACCTGCTTTAAACCCATTAATGCTTCCCTCTAAGAAATGTCATGAAATTGAGGAAAACACCTTCTTCATGTGAACTCAAATCACAGTGTCAAATATGTGTGTGTTTCATTGTATCTGCAAGGTATTGAATAGCTATGGGAAATAGTGCCATCAGTGACACACCTAAGCACAATTTTCTCTTGTAGCAGTTTTCTTCCTTGGAAATCTTGAAAAGCTGGTGTCCTAAAAAAAAAATTGGCCTGCTTTTCCATCTTTCCCCATGTCTTTTGTACCACAGTTGTAGTTCAAAAGATGAGAGATCTCATCCAGTTGACAAGTGATCCTTTTGCAAGCTTCCTGGGGGAGTCTTATTCATTGCATGTGACCAGATGAGTCACTGCTTATGAGTCTGTTTCTGTTGATATCTTTCACTGGTCCAAGTGCAACCAGAACTAAATATGCCCTACAAAGAGAGAATAACAATAGTAGATATTTTGTCCTAAGTCATCTGCCTAAAGAAAGAAAGAAAACATTGCTGGGCAGATTCTAACCCCCTTGCGATTCCAGCTGGTGAGTGGCAACAGAAATTAATTTAAAGTAGGGTCATGGAAGGTGAAAAAAGAGGTATCCGCATGCATCGGTGAAGCAGAAGAAGAAATACATTTTTAAAACAAAGCAATGCACTGAACATGCTCACTAGCTACAGAATATTGAGTGTCAGTTGGAAAGGAAAATTAGAGGGGTCTGTCTGAGAATGTTCTTTTGCTGAAAGACATGGCTACAAATCTGGATGGAAGTACTTCTATTGGGAGCAAAACTGTACTGCAACATAATTATGGCGTTGGAAGGGGGCTTATGGGATATCAAGTCCTAAGTGTATGACCTCCAACTAAAACATCCTATCAGGGAGCTGGCTAGCTTCTTTTGGAAGACATCTGTAGAAAGAGACCCCATCACCTCTCTATACAATTGCTTCCATTCCTAAACCACTCATGTCATTATGAAGTTCTTTCTGATGTTCAGCTGAAACCTACTCTACTGTAATTTCAAACCATTAAACCTGGCTCTCTGGCAGCAGATAACAGGCCTGCCCCCTCTCCTTGTTGGAGCCCTTGAAGTATTTAAGCACGTCACCCCTCAGTCTTCTCTTAACCAAGCTGAATTTGCCCAACTTTTTCAACCTTGCCTCATAGACTTTGATCTCTATCTCTCTTCTTATCCTTCTTGTCCTTCTCTGAACTTGGTCTAACTTGTATATGTCATTTTTTAAAAATATATACCAGAACTGAACATAATACGCCAGATGATGTTTGATGTGCCCAGAATATAGTGGGGTGATTTCTTCACTTGATTTAAAAGCTACATTTCTATTAACGCAGTATAAAATATCATTCACTTTTTTTACTGCAGGCTCATGTTTACCTTATAATCAATAATGATCCTAATGACTTTTTGCATCCTGAATCATTTATGGGGGATACGTGTGCATTTGATTTTGTGGCCAAAATGTAAAATCTTGCATTTGTCTCTTATTGAATTTCAGAGTATTAATTTTGCCCAGTCTTCAAGTTTATTATGGTCCTTTTGAATTTGGTTCTTCTCTCCCGGTGGGGGGGAGGGGGGAGGGAAGAAAAAAACCCAGAAAAAGCAATATGGCCGAACCGTTTAGACCAGCAGATCTTTATTTTTGCATGAGCTTTCATGGATATAAACTCACTTCTGTAGATGTATTACAGTTAATATCATCTGCAAACTTGCTAAGGATTCCCTCCAGCCTGTCATCTAAGTTGGTGATGAAAATACTGAGAAGAGAACTTGGAGGCACTCAAGGCTTCCTTCCAGCTTGAAGTATAGTCTTAGATTCTCTGGGCATCGTTTTTCAATTTTGGGGTCATCTGGTGGTATTTCCATCTATTCCATATTTTATCTGTTGCTAATTGAAATGTTATGGAAAATCTTGTCAAATGCTTTGCTGGAATCCAGATAAATCAGAAATCAAGATAAATAAGAAATAAGTAGAACTTCAACTGTGGTTCCTCACAGAAAACCTTCAAGAATAGCTTCTTCAAAACATTTAGGAAAGAAAATATACTGGGCATGCCATTATGATGGTTCACTCTGATTTCTTACTATAGTTATTTTTGGAAGGTTAATATAATGCATAATTACATCTCCACTGATCCTTTCTTTCTTTTGTAGGTTTTATGACCAATCCCAGTTAAGCTGGTCTTCCTGCCCCAAGACAGAAAAAGATCTCGCCTATTGGAGAAGAAGAGGTCAGGATTTTAGTGCGTTGTTGGGCAACAGTGGCAAGGGGGACTCTGAAACAAAGGGAATGGCTGTGCCTTGTGCTTTGTATGGACATGACAAAAAAGGTCAGTGGGAGGTAGGAGGTGGAGGAGAGAAAATTAGAAGAACCAACATGCAGGAGAAGTGGAAACCAACTGCAGATTACCGATGGCAGAATTTAAGAACAGAAAGTTGGGACCGGCCAACTGTATTTGCAGGATTTACGTCTCAAGGTGACAAGGAAAGACTGCTCCAAGATAAATATTCAGGTCGACAAGTCAATGCTGCTGCTACTTCCCATGCTAAGGGGAAATCACAATCGTTGCCAAGAGTTCTTTCACCAGAGAGCCTAAGGTGTGTTGAAATGCCCTCCCTCATTACCAAAAAACATTCGTTCAGTGGAATGAAAACAGTATCTTGTCCCCCAACTGGACTGAGCCTGGAAACTTCTAGGTACCCTAATGCAGTGGCCCAGTTCCTTCCCTTGACCAAGCCCAAGTATGGGAGACCCCTGAAGCCTCCTTCCTACGAACTTCATCAACAAACCAGGGGAAGCCTGGAAGCCAATTCCCTGCAAGATGACTTGCGAAAAGATGAAGCCATCTCAAGTTTGACTAAAATTGGTGACTCGACTCAGGATGTTTGTACTCAAGACTCAAGCCTGGAGCCCCCATTGTATGTTCCCCCTCCATGTTATAAATCACCAGCTCAGCAAAGTATGGATCAGCATTTGCCCGGTGAAGTGCCTAACTATGATATGTGCTTTAATAATGGCATACAGAGTCCTGTCGAAACAACCAACTTTGTCCACCCCCGCTCCGTTGACATATTTAAGAGTGGAGATGAACATTATCAAAATGAACCAACTCCTTATGACCATAAAAGCCATCCAAGACAGGCGGAGAACTACTTGTCTTCTGTGCAGTATATTCCTTTTGATGACCCACGGATCCGGCATATTAAAATAGCACACACAGATGGTCTTCAGGAGGATGTCAGAGCTGCTGGGGATGCAAATAGGACACGTCTGTATGCCTTCCAAGGGAATTCTCTGGAACCAGAGTACAACAGTGCCTTTTCAGATATGCCAGACTCGCTAAGTACTGCTGTCAAGTGTGACCAGGTCCCTGGCAGCTCTGCACAGAGAAGCAGATGGCTAGTAGAGTCAACCATAGATCAGGACAGTTGTGCCTTGCCTCTCCAAAGAGACAGTTATGATGCAGGTAATGACCTGAATCGCAAATACTCCAAAGGCCGGCTGTCTACACAAAGCCCTCATACGCAACCGCCATGTGAGACTGTGACTAAAGTAAAAACCTTTGAACCTGGCACAGAGATCCAGAGTAAGAAGAGTTCAAAGAAAAAAACAAACGAAACAATATTTTGCTTGGTTTCCATCCCTGTCAAATCTGATCTGAACCTGCCAGATACCGACAGGAACAACAATGTAACACAGGGGGCTGAGGAGAAGAATGGGCTTGATAACAGTGGGGTTCTGCGGGAACAAAGTCTCCTAAGCACTTCTTCCACTGATTTGGAGCTCCAAGCCCTTACAGGAAACATGACCAATAAGAATGAGTTACAAAAACAAGAGTCATGGAAACAAACGAATGACCTCAGATTCCTGCAGCCTGCGAAACACAAGGAGCTCCAGTACTCTGGCTCATGGCCAGGTGATCAGTACAAGGACCAACAAACACAGACCAGCTTAATCGAAGAACCCAAAGTCATGCATCTTCTCCAAGGTTTAGAGCAGAGGGGATCCGACACAACAAGAGCTTCCCAAGTGTTAAGGGATGGAACTTCTACCACAAAGCCAACACTAACTGTACGGTCTACTGATAATAAGTGGGGTAAACAATTTACATCCAGTGTGAAAGAGCAGGGGAATCGGGACAAAGCCAGCAATAGTGTATACTCTAGGACTGTTGTACTTAACCAAAAGGCAAGTCCCAATCTGCCTCCTGCTTCATGTGCAACTTTTCCAGAGCAGGAAAAGGACAGTAATTCTGTCTTTGTGGAGGAAGAAAACACCCTTTCTAGAAGCAAGGAACTGTTTGGGCAGTTCCTCTTGAAACCTGTTAGCCGCCGCCCTTGGGATGTCATAAGTGAGCTGGAAAGTTTCAACAAGGAACTTCAGGAAGAGGAAGAAAGTAGTGAAGATGGTTTAGAGAATGATGGCAGGCAGGAAAGAGAAGAGGAGGAAAAAATAGGAAGGAATGAAAGTGTTACCTTTAGGAATGATGTGATGAGCCAGGAGCTGGACCATAGACTTGATGTGCAGTCAGAACCTCTCATAGTAGTCACTCCTTTGTGTGCACAGAGTAAGGATAAAAGTAGATCTGAAAGTGTAAGTGCCTCAGAAAGTTCAAATACTAGAGTCACGGGTGGTGAATTTCCAGTGAGTTCTAGATGTTTGCAGGCCAGAGAGATGGGTGAATCTGTCAGGGTGACAAATGGATACCTTTTTGCTGAACCAAAAAAACAGGAAGCTGGGAACAGGATAATAAAACATTCTGTCAGTCCACAATCAACCAAAAGATTTCTGTCTGATTCCTACGATGATGAGAATCACTACAATCCATTCAATAGCTTCAACTTAAAGGATGAAAGCCATGTGAAAAATGAGAGTGTACTTGACTTTGATAGGCTGAAGAAAAATACAGCACCCAGGATTAACCTAGCATTGGAAAGAGGTTCTGCAGCCCGGTTGTCCTTAACCAATAGGAGTCAAGGTCTTTCTGAACCTGATTTGAGAAGTGTGGGATTAGATGAAGACCAAGGACTTGGAACTCATGAGCTCGATTGTTATGGAAAACCTATTGTGCCTGAGATTCCCCCCAATGAATCACTCCAGGCAAGAGCAGCTAGGATTCTAGGGATAGAGGTACCTGTGGAGGCACTTGTACCCAATGACAGAACAATTCAGGACAAAAACTTACATCCTGATAATTTCAGCCTCAAATTATCAGCTGAAAGGACACTGGGGGATATGACGGAAACAAAGGTGACTTCTTTTGAAGGAAGACGAAAGTGTGGCTGGACAGAAAGCTCCTTTTTTGTTGGAGACAATATCTCCTTGGAGTCTACTGAAGATCAGAACCCTGGAGAAGAAACATTGATAGCAGAACAATTTGAGCAGCATGAAAGTCTTGGCAGACAAAGAGAAGAACATATTCCCTCTCTTGAGTCTGCTGTGCTTCCATTTGTTGAGAGGCAGGTGGTTCCACCTAACGCAGAAAAGAAAGGCAGAAGCACTTCAAAGGTGATTGAGACCTTGCAAGGCAAACTTGCAACCCCACCGAGCCGAGCCGCCATGGACCGTCTGGTGAGGATGAAAGAAGTTCACTCAGTTTCTCGTATGAGGCGGCTGAGCATAAAGAACACAGATTCAGGAGAGGATGGAGAGGAAGAGAAACAGTCTAAGGGCTTAGATGAGAGAGGAAGTGATCCCACTTCTGAGAATAACGAATTGCCCCGCAAGTTGTCCCATGGAAGTTCTGTGTCCAAGCGCATCATCTCACTGGCTGAAAATGGACTCTCGGATAACAGAAGTGAGAGGAAAACTGGAAAACATTCTTTTTCATTAGGTGAGATGTTGATTTCTCAAGGGTTTCTATAATCAGTTCTTTAGTGGGAGATGAGTAAATATTTGCTCTGAAGAATACTTGATGGGAAATAGTTTATTCCTGGTTTCATCTTAGGTATAAACTTTGCTGTTGCTGTTGAACTGGGAATGGAAAAGAGAGGTATCAGCAACAATTCAATTGTTTCCCTTACTCAGATTAATATTCTGCATGCTATATACATACGATATATATAGTACATATAATACAAGAAAAATCATACTCCTTTGTGATTTGTCTTGGTAATTTTATTATTTGTAGATAAAATTAAAATGTTATCTCTAGGAATCTCTAGGTCCTCCAGCATGATACTGTGATCAATGTCTTTTGGAGATTGACCATAGAGTTATGTATGAAGACCTGAAAATCTCTAGAGAGCTGTTATCTTAGATTAAAAAAAACACAGTTTTTTTGTTTGCAGTTTTTTTTTCATTTTTGCAGGGATCCTGCACCCCTAACCTTAGTGAATGTGGTGGGCTGACAGTGTATGTTACATGCCAGAACAAACGCCGGCAAAAGCATAGTTAAACCTGCTGTCCCCTTGCTTTGAAGTACCAATGTATAATAATAATAATAATAATAATAATAATAATAATAATAATAATAATATACTTTATTTATATGTATGGCAAACATTCAATGCCGTTATACAATTAACAAAGACAGACAATACATAGACAGAGGCAAGGCTTCCCTCTTTTTCATTTCTCACATTTGGAGGCTATGTTTGACTCGGTCATGGGGAGGTGCTGTTGTTCCATTTTTCTACGTCAAAGAGCCTTTTGTCACAAGTTGCCTTCCTGATCGAATTGCTGGCATGTCTTCTGGGACACCTTTTACCTCCTAGCCACAGCAGTACCTATTTATCTACTCACATTGCTGTTTTCGAACTGCTAGGTGAGCAGAAAACTAGGACTGATGGCAGGAGCTCGCCCCACCTGCAGCTTGAACTGCCAACCTTTCAATTGGCAAGATTTTCTGTAGCTGGCAGTTTAACCTATTGTACTAATCATGATCCCTCTGTGCTAACCATGGCCCTTTAAGAGTCATCTGGTTAGTTCTTCACCATTCACCTACCATGGTTTCACAGAATTGAGTGAAAGAGGGATTGATGGCTGGGTTCCTATCAAACCATCTGAGAACCCTTCTACACTGCCATATAAAATCCAGATTATATGCTTTGAACTGGATTATATGGCAGTGTAGACTCATAATCCAATTCCAAGTAGATAATGTGGATTAAGTGCTCTGATAATCAGGATTATACAGCAGTGTAGAAGGGGCCAGAGATTCCACTTGGAATAAAAGTTGTTCCCTACCAGTCAAAAGAGATCAGTATGAGAACTACCCCTCCTATTGTTTTTAGTTTGAGGCGGTTTCAAGGATGAATTGGTATCACTTGGAAAGGGAAAGGCAGTGTGACAGCATGCAACCTTTATCATCTCCTTGCTTTGTATATTTGAATCCATTTAGATACAAACAATATAATGGAGATACTAACCTAATAATCTTTTAGGTGTAGATCCCATTGTTATTCTCAATCTGAACAGACCTTAATTGGGATTAGCGGTTGCATTAAGGTTTTAGTGTTTACATACAATTCCAGTACTCAATGTGTAAGATCATTTTAAAGAAATCTATTACATGTTATAGGGCCCCTGCACACAGCCATATAACTCAGAATATCAAGGCAGAAAATCCCACAATACCTGCTTTGAACTGAGTTATCTGAGTCCACATTGACATATATTCCAGTTTGAAGCACATAATGTGGGATTTTATTCAGCTGTGTGGAAGGGGCCCTAGTTAAATGAAACAGACTCTTTTCTAAAGTGGCTTCTAACAACCTTACACTTTCCAGATGGATTAAACTAAAACTCTCATTGTCCTCATTGCCAGCATGCTGTTTCAAGTGATGGGTATTGCATTCCAGCACATCTAGAGGACTTAGATGGCAACTTTAAATAGGGCTGCTCCCTGGGTAAACTAGTAGTGATGAGAGATTTAAGTAGTGGAGGAGTTGACCCTAGTGAGCTTCAAAGCCTCGCCAAACAGCAGTGTGTTTTGAAATTGTGTATCATTAGTGTAATTTTTTCTATCTCATAATAGGCAGTTATATAGGTACTGCTGAGGCATGATCACATGTGATTTGAAATATGTGGTGAGTCCCTTCCTCCCCTTGTCTTTCCAAACTGGTTCCCTTACTTACTTTAAATGCCTGGGCCATTTTACAGAGTGACTTTTAAGATAACTATAAAAAGTATCTATAATTTTGTAATGAGAGAACTAGCTTTAAAGAAAAGCCACATTGAGGAGACAATGTTTATTTCCACAACCAGCAGTCTTCAGATCCTTACTAGTTATCTTTCTATTCTGCTGCCTTTGACGGCAACAAACTATAAATAGCTGCTCTAACATGCTCCCAACTTCCTTGTCACTATCACAGTTTATTTTGATGCAGCAAAAAAATTGAATATCTCCTCTTTCAATCCTACATTCAATTGTTAACCAGCTCTGATGCACCAGTAGACCTTTGTATATGCAGAAGTTAACCAAGATGACTAAACCAAGGCTGTTGGCCTTGGCCATATCACAAGAAGACAGGACTCTTTGGAAAATAAGTAATACTTCATAAGGTAGAAGGCAGCATCAAAAGAGGAATAGGCTCAACCAAGGAAGCCATGGCCCTGAGTCTGCAAGACCAGGGCAGGGCTGTTGATAATGGGGATTTTGGAAGTCTTTCATTCATAGGGTTGTCTAAGTCAAACTTGACTTGATGGTAATTGACAAAAACAAAAGGCAGAAATGACAAACTTGTGACTCTCCATGTGTTTTCTGTATCCAACTTCCATGCACCCCAATTTGTGTTAGTTTACAAGAGCCTATCATCATAGCACAGCATAGATTTCATTACACAAAAGAGGCAAACCAACATTGCAGAAGTATTATCAAAGGTAGACATAGACAAAGCAAACATCACTTTGATATTAATTAAAACAGCTCCTACATACAATGAGCAACATAGACTTGTTGGAGTCTCACACTACAGTCAATCTGTAGGACATGCACAACTGCTTGGATGGGGTGAATACCCCATCACCCCGATGATAAACTTTACTCAAAATCTAGCTGGTGAAGTGGAGCCTCTGGTGGCACAATGGGTCAAACCCTTGTGCCGGCAGGACTGCTAACTGATAGGTCAGCGGTTCGATTCAGGGGAGAGTGGGTTGAGCTTCCTCTGTCAGCTCCAGCTCCCCATTCGGGGACATGAGAGAAACCTCCCACAGAGATGGTAAAATATCAAACATCGGGGCGTCCCCTGGGCTGTGTCCTTGCAGACAACCAATTATTTTACCAGAAGCGACTTACAGTTTCTCAAGTCACTCCTGACACACACACACAAAAGCAAGTGAAATATAGCTGGTTGTGAATAAAACTGACAACTAGTGGAGTTCACTGGACTGGATTCAAGCTCTGTTATAGCTTTTGGAGCTATTTTTGTTCTTGGAACTAGCTGTTAATCTCTGTGTAAAAGGCAGTTAATGTGTTGGGCTATTGTGAGTTCAAGCAACCCTGGTATCCACAGGATCAGCATCCACAGTTTCATTTATCCACAACTGATGAAAGATGTCCCCATTAGGTATTTTCTAAGTGTAGCATGACTCTATGGTATTCATGCACCAGAAATTCTTCATTTCAGTAGAGTTCACTATTATCTATGGCAGTGGTTTCCAACTTTTTTTTGACTTGGGACCACTTTGACCAGGGGTCACTCTCCAAAATTAGTACCGAAAGGGTTACGAATAAGTTTTTGGTCAACTTTAGATTCAGTTTGGGGTGCTGATTCAGAAAATTGCATTGGATAGACCATATTAGTTCTAGTTTCTGATATAGAACATATGCCATGGTCAGTGACAGGAAAGGAGTGGCAGGTGTCACAAAAGGAGTGGAAAGAAAATAAATAAATAAATAAATAAAGAGGAAAAAGGCTCGTGAACCCAATTTTCGTCTTTGCAGCCCACTGATAGTCCATGGCCCACAGATCAAGAACCACTGATCTGTGGTTTCACATAGCCATACAAACTCTAGGAATGTATCCTGTTTGAATACAGGGCTCATACTCTAGTTGGTTTGAGTGGGTTGTTCCCACTGAAATTGTAAGGAGCTCCATTAACACATTGAGCCAGGGGAACTATTAGAAATGACTGCTATAATTACTAATAATAATATCCATCTTTTCTATTTCACAGATGTGTACGATCCCACCAGAGTTGAAAGAGTGTGATATGAAAACGCATGACTTTTGACTCTTCTGTGGGACATTTTTGCTGGGCTCCAGCACATGGAAACAGTGTTGACTCTCAGTGTTTGGCAGCTACTGACAAAGCCTTCATTTCTGTTGGTGGGAGGGACGGAGAAGATCAGTGCTTCATTTTCCATTGCTTTATAGAGCCTGCGTGAAAAGGCAGCAAGACCCGAGAGAGGGAGAGAAAGAAATAACAGAAATCTCCACTTTGAAACCATCTGTTTTTCTGCAGCATTAAGACTTAATGCCTCTGCTTGGCACGGATTGGTCATTTTAAAACTGGGCTGAGCAGCCAGGATAGTAAACAGGATGAAGATGGGAGAGGCTTGGAGGGGCGGTTGGCTAATGCCTCCATGCAAAATGTAAACAGGGGAGATTAGCAAAATGATTTCTGAAAGAATGTGAATTTGTAAGCTAAACATCCGAACCTCTGAACTCTTAAGCTTTGTTTAACTTTAGCCATGAAGCGGGGAGAAAGACAGCGGCCACCGTCGTCACCTTTTCTCCCCCCCCCCCCCCCCCGCCTCATGGGAATAGAAGCCAAAGAGGAAGAAAGTTGATTGACGGACTGTGAAATTATTTTAAGAGTTTGACCGTTTGAAGGAGCTTTGGTTTTACACCTTTGACTTGCTCCGTGCACAGAATAGAAGGGCAGATACTCTACAAAAATGAAATCTGAAGGCCAAACATCACTGTACATATGATCACAGCCTGTACAGCCATTGCTACCAAACCAATACCAATACCATGCTGATTGCTGCTGTTTTGCACTTAACTATTGCCTAGTTATATGTTTTTCTCCTGTATATTTTTCCTCCTTCCTTCCTTCTTCCTTCCTTCCTTCCTTCCTTCCTTCCTTCCTTCCCCCCCCCCCCTTCTTTCCTTTTTCCCCCTTCTTTTTCCCCTTCTTTTTTTTCTTTTTTCTTTTGGACTTGAAATGTTTTACATGATGAGAGAGCTCCTTTATTATAGTGGACCCCTTTCAATGAAGCAACTTTTTTTAAACTGAAGGTGATCTATTTTTCTACAGCTAACTGATGCGGTATATTGAGGTGTCTTCTTTTTAAAGCAGGGAGGCTTTTCAGAGAATTTTTTTTTTTTTTTGTATCTTGTATGCATTCCCCATTGTCTACAGCTTCCGTTGTAAAAAAAAAATGTGTTTACGTGGGTATGTACATATGTATATCTCTCTCCTATGAAACAAATCTGTATGTATTTAGATATAAGTTGTTATCTAGTTGGTGGGATAATTTCTGTTTGATAAGCACGCAATTGACAATGGTCCAGGATCATCTTCCACTTTGTAACATTCCTCTCTTGTTTATGACCAAAAAGCAAATGCACCCTAATCCTATGGAATCTGGCACAAATCTTGGATACTTGCAAATTTATCTGTGGAATGGGATTGGGGGCCCAGTTCTTGGGAGTATCAATTTCCGTCCATATGTATATGCATTCACAGCATATATGACATGCAATAAACCATAAAGAAGATACAACACTGCCAACACTGTTCAGCTAAGGCACTGCAAAGAGGCCAAGAGAAGAATGGACTTGGGAATCCTGCAACCTCATCACACTATAGAGAATGTATCCACTTTACATTGGGTTGCTGCCTCCTGCAGAATTCTGAGCTTTGTAGTTTAGGGAGGAATCTTTAACAGCCCCACGAAACTACAAATCCCAGAATTCTGCAGGAGGCAGAAATCTGATTTAAAGTGGATTCATTCTCTAGTGTGATGAAGTGACAGTCATCAAATCCAAGAATATCAACACAGAAGTGGTTTTATCTACGCACTCGTTCTTATTAAGCAGATTTTATAACCTGGCTTAGTAGACCAACTCAAAGAAATAGGCTGTTACTCTATGTTTGCATTTTTATACTTAACACTAATTTTGTCTTTAAGATATAATCCCATATTAGGGAACACCATACAAAGATTTGAAAATCATATTTTCCCAACATATTCCAAATATATTTAAAGAGAACCTTGTACATTGTTATAGGATTAATACTGATTTTAACCTGCACAATACTTATTTATATACTTAACTTTTGTGTGCTCTGTGGATTTTTTCCCCTGTTAACATACCTGAAAATGTATTTTTGTTGATTTGTATTGGCCTTTTTATGTGTTTTGCTCTCTCTGAAAGCCATGTTATTTGCTATGCATTTCTAATTCTTGAGATTTTATTTCTGGGGTCCTATCATTTGGCCAAATATAAAACTAACCCACCTGTTGTGCTTTGGCAACCACATTTGCTTATCTGTAACACGGGATTCTATTACATAGGATCGTTATTAAATATTTAAAGTTTGTTATATATCAAACAAAATAAGTTCTTGGTTTATTGTCTTGGGAAAAATATGTGGCTTTTCTTTCTGGTGGGTTCCAGGTAGTTTCTACATTTTTTGGATGGAGGGCTCATCAAAAGGTAGTGTGTGAGTGCAACGAATCAATTTCACCCTCCTGGATGGGGGGAACCTTTGGCCCTCCAGCTGTTTTGGACCATAACTCCTCTATTCCCTTTCCATGCTAAGTGGTGCTGATGGAAGTCATTGGCCAAAACAGCTGGAAGGCAAATGTTTCCCCAGCTGTTTTAAATTGATTTTTCCATGTACTTAACATACTATGGCTGGGAAACTCACTGGGGAAGAAATTTGCAGTTCAAAAACAACTTGAGGGAGAAGGTAGTCTATATTACCCTCCATTGCATTTCTGCTCCATTGGCAGCAGCTTTCCTAGATCTAAATAGCCGATGAACCTACTATTGCACGCATCTGAGAACTGTGGTTTGGATCTGCAGCATTGAAACCGTGCCCATCAGTAGGCTAAATATACCATCTTCTGGCTCAAATGAGTTCCAAGGCTGAAAAGAGTTCAAGAAAATCCATGGAAATGACTTGAGGAAATGCAGGCTTTTACTTTGCTTTCTGGACTGTGATGACAGATGGGTTAAGAATTGCACTAATAAATAGTTTGAGATTAGGGTTACAGGTGTCACGCTCTCAGAGACAGTGTTTCTCAACCTTCCTAATGTGGCAATCCCTTAATACAGTTGTGATAACCCCAACCATAAATTTATTTTCATTGCTACTTCATAACTGTAATTTTGTTAGGAATCATAATGTATATATCTGATATGCAGGATGTATTTCCATTCACTTGATCAAATTTGGCACAAATACCCAATACACCCAAATTTGAATACTGGTGGTGTTGGGGGATTGATTTTGTCATTTGGGAGTTGTTGCTGGGATTTATAGTTCACCTACATTCAAAGAGCATTCTGAACCCCACCAACGATAGAATTGGGCCAAACTTCCCACACAGAACCCCCATGCCTGGATGGGACTCGCTGACACAAGCCTCTCTCCAGCCTTGCATGCTCTCTCTCTTGCATGCGCACCATTCTACCATGTGCTGAGCATGCCTTCTCTCCCCTCCCTGCTTGGAGTTTCAGAAACAGCCCTCCCATTGGTGGAGAGGCTGGCTGAGAGGTGGGAGGATTCGGAGTATGTTTCCAAAAGGGAAGGGAAGGACAGGCAGAGAGATCTTCAGCCTTCTCTGCCAAAGGAGTTCTTAAGACCATCAGAAATAAATGTTTTCTGATTGTCTTTAGTGAGCCCTCTAAAAACCCCTTGCGACCCTCCACCCGGGGTCCCAACTCCAGGTTGAGAAACACTGCTCTGAGACCTGTGCATCCTTTATGTTTTTATACAATCCCGGACTGAGTGCAGTCAGTCCCTTAGTTACAAATGTCCGACTTACACATGACGTATAGTTAAGAACAGGGGTAAAACAACAGGAAGTAAGAGAAATCTATCCCTCATAAGGAAAATTCCTTCCTGAAATAAAATTTATCATGGGGGAAAAGTGCCTCCACTGAAGCTTTGGCACCAATCCTTTTTTCCACAAGAAGCCACCTTTTTCAAAATCAGATTATCACAGGGCCAGCAGGTGAGGTGAAATCTTCTGAACAGGGGCACAGGCAGCAAAAGAAACACCTATGCTGCCCAAAGCTTAAAGATACATATTTTTGGCTGAAGTAGCACTTAAAATGTACCTGTTCCGACTTATCTATAAATTCAGTTTAAGAACAAACATACAGAACCTATCTTGTTCATAATTTGGGGACTGCCTGTATTTGCAGAGTCTGTGGTTAAAATCTCTAGCTGATAGCATTGAACTTGGTGAAGTCAGGTCTATCCTGTATTTCAGGTCTTTCCTTCTGTTTTGAGGAGCGTTAAAATCTTGTTTGTTTACTGCTATGTCCTCTTGGCCAGAAGACCTTTGTCTTTTGAGTCGTACATTCTACTAATCCATCTATCAAAGAACCTGGGGCGTGTTATGCCAGCAACTAAAATAACAACAACAACAACAACAACAACTGGAAAAGCTGACACGATATGAGGATTTAAAGACTGAACTGCAAATACTCTGGCACAAGCCAGTAAAGGTGGTCCATACTGGGTGCAGTGCCTAAAGACCTTGGCCTACACTTAAACACAATCGGCTCTGACAAAATTACCATCTGCCAGTTACAAAAGGCCACCTTACTGGGATCTGCACACATTATTATTACTCTTGGAGTGAAACTACACTGTAGAATGAATGCAGTTTGTCACCACTTTGGCTTGATCTACAGTGTCATATCATCCGGATTATCAAAGCAGATAATCCACATTGTCTACTTTGAACTGGATTATCTGAGTCTACACTGCCTTATATTCCAGTTCAAAGATAATCCGAATTTTATAAGGCACTGTACAAGGGACCTTAGAAAGACAAAGATCCAGGTTTCTGAGCGACAGGCTATTTATATCTTTTTAGGAGAGACACTTCTTTGCTGGTTAGTCCACAGACGCTGTCTAAACCTCTGGAGCCACCAAAGAAAAGCAGGCAGAGCTTATTGCTAATTGCTTTTATACGTGCCGTTATCCACTAAATCTCTCTGTAGAGGATGGAACAAATTCTGCATACCAGAATCTTTTATTTTCAGCTTGCAAAAAATCCCAGCTCTCTTCCATGGCAGCCTCCCAGCCAGTCTGAGCAATGTGTTGGCAACAGGGAATGGAGAGCTGGATGCGTGCACAGGAAAGCTGAGGAATTGATTAGGCAAACCCTGCATTCGTCTTATTGATGGACACATGGCAGAGATTAGAAATAAAAATGAAAACCCCCAGCCAAGGAA